TCGTTTCAACACTTACTTGTACCTATAGAAATCGATTATTAAAGTTTTATCTGACGGGTTAAAAAAGATTTATTGCAAACTAATGAACAGTCTTTGTAGTAATATTTTTTTATGATAATGATATTAATTTAACTTTTTATATTTTTTTCAATTCTTGTTCCCGACCGGACTATTATTAAAAATAAAAAAAATATATTTATAATTTTTAGGTTCCAAAAAATTTTTCTTTGCCGCACACAGTAAAATATATTAACCCTGTTTAAAAATATTCATTGAAAAAAATTCACTGTCATGAGATTTGAATTTTTTTCAATAATTCCAATTGATTTCAATTTCTAAGTATATATCTATAGATATATAATTTGTATAGAGCGAATTTTTTTAATTTTTTTCAATGAATATTTTTAAACAGGGAAGCGTTTACCTGTAAGTTACACAAAATTTCTTATTGAGTATTTTTTTAAAAGTAAAATACTATTCTTTTCACTTGAAAATTTTTTTTCTGGGGCTTATTTGAGACCAAGTATCTTTCCGTATTTTAAGTATAGAGAAAAGATATTTGAATAAGATAACAATCATTGAAGACTTTTGAATAATTTTTTATAAAGTTCCAGTCGATACCACTCAACTTGTTAACTAAATTATGATCAAATAAAAATACTAGAACTAAATGCTGAGATCTGAATGCTAAATATTGAACAAAAATTGATTTTTGAATTTGTCAATTTCGGAAGATTGATTACATTCAGTAAATGACGAGAGTTTAAAACCGGCTAAAAAAATGGTTGATATTAAGTCGATATGTTCACACCAATGATTATTTCAGCATAGAAAAACCTATTTTTTTATTTCAAATAAACAAAGCAGGTTTCAAAAAGAATTTATTACAATTGTAGATATAAATTCATATAAAAATTTTTAAAAATGATCAAATTAGTAATGCGAAGTATTCATATCCATTTTTAAAATATCTTTATTTATATGTATTTAAAGTACATGGTACCAGTTACATGAGTTTTATTTTTTTAATAGTTGTCCCTATCCGTAGATTTGAACAAATGTATTGTTTTATAGATTATGTTTATGTATTGCTTACAAGAGATGTACTAAGTTATTATGGATGTACTAAGTTATCATTTTCGAACTTATATACTTAATCTACGACTTAGTAAGCAAAAACTGAGAGTGACTTTTCGCTATCTGTTGATCATTATGGAGCTATTTAACTCGCAGGTAAATTTTAAAAAGAGATTTTGTAATTTTTCTTCTATTTTTTTGTACAATGTCATAATTAAGTATATGACATACTTAGTGTTTTTAATTAAAAATAAATTTATTTAAACGTTATCTCAAACTGTTTAACAGTGTAGATAATAATTTTTTATAAGAATTAATGCAATTTCTAATTTCTCAATTTATATGTAAGCTATTAAATTCATTTCATCAAAGCACTTAAGACAATAAAATAAAGAAGAAGCAAACGATTATCCACGATCGTTATCATTGAAGCTATTTATCCTTGTTCAAAATTGATGTGATGATTTGATATATTCAATGGTAATAGTTAATTATTCTATCAGTTTGTAATAAATCAAGTAATTGCGGTTATTAATGTTATCATACTCAGAAATGCATTAAATATTAACAGATGCAAATAAAGTGTTTATACAACTTTAATGGCGCTATTGTCATGAGCACGAGGAATGTTCATGAAGATGCATAGAAATTTAGAGGAAACGAGAAACAACCGAAGGATGGTAGTTGCGCACGGTAGTGTGGGTCATACACGCGTGAAGATATTATCGTTTTACTCTTTATATTATTTTTATTGTGTATGAATAGCTATTAAATAAGTCTGTTTACGATTTTTTGTTTATATATACAGATATATATTAATTTTAATTAACTTACTAAAATGGAATTATGAATTATTAATAAATAAAGTTGTTAACTTCATAAATTACATCGAGTTTTTAGGATCTAAAACAGAGAAAGGAAGTTTATAATAAAAGTTGTTGACAAATTGTTTTAACGCATTTTAACCCGGTGATTGAGTATCTAAACTGGACACACTAGTTTATGAATTTCATGATCGCTTTAATGAGGTGTAAATTGCTGTATAATTGCATGTTCAAAGGGGTTGTACTTGTTACCGATACTTTTTATCTATTACGTAAATTGAAAATATTTATAAAAGTAATTATCTACGAATTGAGTTCATAACATTATTAATTATCATTCAATCCAGCTAATGACTATCAAAAAATTACAATCGGTATTCAGTCTAGTTAATTATTTTGTCTGAGTTTAAATAATTATTATTTTTTGCCGATCCTCATAACTTGGACGTTAATTAGCTTCGAATAAGTAGAAAGCACTGACCAAATTCAGATCTCACGCCAATGCTTTGATCGACACTTCCGAATAGATCCAAAAGCAGGTAGTTCAATTAATTAAGTTATTACTGCGCAGGAAACATGCTTATTTTAATGTTATTGTTGAATAATGATAGTTATTGATTTACTTATGAAAAATAAAAAAAAATAATTTTAAAAATAGGGTAATTTTTAAATAATATTTTTTTTTTTTTCAATTTTGGAAAAATTAATCAAATAAAATTGTTATAATTCTAATGAGGAAAGGTTTACGAGTACTGCTTTTTATTATTGATATCAATGGACTTGGATTGACATTTAAAATTTAGGCATTTAGTTGGATAATCCACTAATATTTATTGAGAAGTTACACTGCACACAAAGAACAAATTTTTTGTGCCAAGAAAATAAAAAAAATAAATGAAAGTTATTTTGGAGCAAAAAAAAATTTTCTTCGCTCAAAAAATTTTGACTTCATTCAAGAAATTATCAACCTTCTATAATATTTTCTTGAGCCAAGAAAGTTTACATTCCAGTCAAGAATTTTTTTTTTCAGTGTGAAGAAAAATTAAACTTAATTCAAAAGAAAAAATTTTAAACCAAGAAAGTTATTTCGAAAAATTTGTATTGCATCAAGCAGGAAAGGTTTTGAAAAAAGTAAAATTATAACGAAAACTAAGAACAATTTTTTTATTTCTTAAGCTTAATTTAAAATATTCAAATTCGTACAAATGATTTTTTCGGTTCGAGATTTTTTTGTCTTGAATCAAATTCATTTCTTTATTTGCGTGTTAATAAATTCCTATAAAGAAATCTATCGACTTGATTTGAATTTTCTTATTTTTTGTTATTATAAATAATCAACGAATTTTACCAAATTAATATTCAATACAATTTTTATTTAATTATTTAATAAAATTTACTTTTACTTACAAAATAATCATATAGTAAAGTTATATATTTAATTGTTTTTAAGAATAATTAAGAAAATTTTTTATTAACTAGTAAATAATAAAAATAATAATTAAGGTGTAAAATGCATTTTGAACAAAAAAAAAGTTATATTACCTGAAAATTTCTACAGTAATTAGTTACTAAGGTTTGAATTATTAAAACGATTAAAAAAAAAAATTCGGTGCGCTACAAACTTCTCTAGCAACCCTTACTTGAGAGAAATACAAAATAAAATCATAATGTTACTTTAAAATTTATTATCGCAATGGATTATATTATTACTCATTGACTTTCTACCTCGACGAGAATAATACACCTCACCCTATTACATAAAATCATCGCCCAAAAGTGGCGTATGAGAACTTTTATCTTCTTTTATGTTCCATTCTATCTTAAAGAGTCATTGAGTTTAAAAGCCTTTGTGGCACTCGCGAGAACTGCCACAAGCAAGATAACTCAACACATAGAAGCCTCTCATTCAAGCGAGTGTGTACAGATTTTAGCAACAAATACGTACACACGTGTCCACAAAAATGTACCTGGTGACATACAGTTAAGGAAGGAGAAGAAGAAAACGAAGAAAAAGAAGAAGGTAAGTATGGCAAAAGTAATTCTGGGCCACAGACAACGATCTGGGGACTAAAATGTAAGTAGAGACCCCACCCCACTTAGGATCGCGATCATTCGGTCCCTCTCAGCGGCCCCTCGTTGTAAAGAGACACGTACGGGAGGATTACTTTGGCGCTCGTTGTTCGATCCACACCAAGACAAACACTAGGTAACCCGCTATTCCTCGAGATTCAGTACCGATCGTCCACTCAAACTTAATAGACCTTAATTATCTTCATTTTTTATTTCATTCAATTTTTTTTTTATTTATTTATTTTCACAAGTGTTTTATTGCAGTGAATTCATTTGGTGAAAAAAATAGTAATTAAGAGTGTGGAATACTCTCAATTTACAATGAGAGGCTTAATTCTGCCCTTACTAGGGCTTCTCGCCCTTGGATGTGCTTCAAGTACGTATAAGATCTTTCGATAATCACAATTATTTTTTTAATCTTTATTACGGTAGTTTATCAAATGTAAGAGGTAAACAACATGATACATAGATTTTAATAATTTTAAATTAATAAGGTGACGAGTCGTTATTATAAACAGATATTACAGCATCATATTTATTAATTGACTTTAAGTAATAAAACTCTTTCAATTATAATCAATTTTTTTATGATCAAAGTCTAAAAAAATTTTTAAATTAAAATCAAGTCCTTAAAAAAAGTATTTTACATAAAATGAAAAATAATACAAATTAAAAAATGTCATTGAGCGATTATCAATGAATTACATTAATAAAATTAGAAGACTTATAAAAATATCGTGATAAATAGATATGAATACAATTTTAAAAATTGTATTGAATAAGAGACAAAAAAAATTTGTTAAAATATTGACATTAAAAATTTTAGATTTTTTTTTTTAGTTCAAATGGTTTAAAAAGAACTTTTACATAATTTACTGTCTGAAAAAAATAGTTTTAAAATTTTACAACAATTATTTTTATATTCATGTAGTTACTAATTAAATGTAAAAAAGATTTTTTAGAAATAAGTACTAACAACTAAAAACTTTAATTATAAACGTTTAGTACTGATGAAGCTATGCGTATAAAATGAATGTAAATAAATATAGAATAAGTTATTGCATAGGTCAAGAGTAGATGATGATGTCAACGGCAGAAAAGTCTTAGCTTACATACATTTATTGAACGACTCATGATGCGAAGCATCAGAGAGTGCTTTACGATCGAAAAATTTGTTTTTACTATTATTATTATTATTGAAGTATTAGTAACAAGAATCGTCACTGTCATAATATTGTTGTAGTTAAAAATACGTAAATCAATTTTTCAGAGTGTCCTGTCCAACGAATGTCTCCGGGCAGGGAGATCTTTTGCTACACCTCAACTTTCGATTTTAAGCAACTCGAGGATTCCATATGCAGGTGTACGACTCTTGTGCACCAAGGTCACGATTTTCAAGATCTTACGACTACTGGTAAGTTTACTGACAGTTGTAGTTTAAAAAACGCTTAACGAAAAAATTCGGTCGTAATTGGGAAATTTAAATTCATTTTTTGAATGGAAAACTGCCTGTTATAATTATTTCCCCGGGGAATTATGCAATTTGTGTGTCCTTGCACTTGTAACAGAATGTCATATGTAGAATTGTGGAAATATTCAATAGTTAATCTGTTTGTTCATTCGTCAAAATTTATTTTATTCATTAAGCCAAGATAAAATATACGTACAAATATTATATACATACACTGTAAGAGTTTTGCGGAGTGGATGACTTTTAATCGATTTAATCCCTTCATAGTAAAATGCACTCTGAGAAGAATTTTATTTATATTGTTAATAAAATAAAACTTTGCGGAGTAAATGCTTTATTTTTTATTATTGAAAAAAAAAATTGCAAAATAGTGTTTATCCATTTAAAAGTTCCAAAATGCGTCCTGAGAGCTTTTGAAAATTAATATAATTTTTTCCTTTGATTCGATTAAACCAAAAAAGTTTAATAATGTTAAGAAAAAAATATTGTATCCATTTTTTTTTTTTTTTTCAATTTTTACAAGTAACGTTTTTTGATAAATTTCTTCAATAATAATTCATTAGTCAAGAAATTCTAAAAATTTCGATATGTGAGTCAATTCCAGTAAAATTAAAATAATTAATGTTAATAATTTATTATTTATAATCTGTCACGTTAAAATTTACCAACAACACTTGAAAACAAAATAATCTTTATGAAAATTTGGTTTAATGTTCCGAAAAATCCAAATTTGGAAAAACAGAATTAATACTCACAAACTTAAACTTGAGATAAATTGTTTGAAGTATTTGCAAGTAATTTGGCATATAAAACTTTTTTCGGCTAAATAAAAATTTATTTTAGTCTAAAAACTCTATATTCGGATAAAACTCCAAATTTTCTCCGTATGCGGGGTATTTTATTCCTTAATTTTGGTACTCCGAGTAAAAATTCACTCCGAATTCACTTTAGATTTTTCACAGTGTAATATATAGATATACACCTATAGAGATAAGTATCATCTATGCATATGCTTGATTAACATGAAATTTTTTTGCTATACATGAAATTATTAAATTATACATAAAATTTTGTGATTCTATTACTTAAAAAGAGTTACTTTTAGATAAAATTAAAATCTTATAAACTAAAGACAAGTTGATGTACAAAGTTGATTTAAACTTAAAGTCTCATTATAAACATATATATTGCAATAGCTAATAATTACAATTTATTAATGAAAAATACCAGTTCTGTAGTCAATTTTTTTTTTTTTTTTTTTCCATTACATAAGCCCAACAGCCCAAAAGGCCAATGACAGGGATACTTAATTTTACAAAGTTGAAAGTTTTGACAGTGTATGATATTTGAATTAATATTTGGCTCTATATAAACTAAATTTTAATATTAGTGATTATTATAATTATCAGATACTTAGTAGCTATAGTAATTAGAAATTAGAAAAAAATATAATACAATGATGATTTATGATTGCGACTACATATGCAGAGTTACATTTTCCCCGCTTTTTTTTTTTTTTTTTTCAATAAATTTTTTTCAATAAATTTTTTTTCTGAGTATAATGATTTAAGATTATCCGATAAAATATTAAATAATTTGACAGTAACCACCTAACAATTATTCAAAGCTATATTTTTGTAAAATTTTGGTAATTGCTCTAGCTCTCGTTTTACCTCGGATCTCAACGTACGATTTCTTACATCTATTGTAATGCTAACATAGAGACACGACACTAAAGAAAAAAGCGGCTAACTTTTTGCATCAATTCCTCAAATCTAATTAAAAATTATCGTACGGATTATATGACTTGAAAATCCACTTTTCCTTTCAACAATCAGTTATTTCAATGAAAAAGTAAATAAAATCAAATTTATGTCAACAAAACCCGATGCTTTCGAGCACTAACCAAAAAAACATCTTTTACTCCGAAGCACTTCAAGATTCCTTTAAATTAATTAAGATTTCTCAAATCGTATCAACGAAATAATTAACCAGCGTTTAATTTCCACACCTTTGCCGCTCCAGCAAAATACCGTCCGACAAAAAATCACGGACAACAACAAAAACAACAAATCAACCGATTACGATTACAAGATCACCGCGAACCTCAATGAATTATTATATTACTAAATCTTTAAACTACTGTGCCGCAAAAAACTACTTCCAGCATAAACATTTATCCAAGATAATTAACTCATATCAATAACAAATTAATAAACGTTAATCCCAAAATTAATTAAGAGTTCTTCAACTAAATACGTTCTTCATATATAGTTGAATCTTATATTAATTAACCGCGGAAGAAAGAGTTTATTCGAAAGTAAACGTGAAAAAGTTTGAAGACCTGAAGACTCCCTAGACGGTGTAGGATAGTATAAATTACCAGTGAAGTAAATAATTTTTTTTTTTTGGTAACCTCACGGTTGGAATAATTTCCCGCTCAATTTTAGCGTGCATATCGAACATAGTTCTCGCCGTTAACCATCGAGAAAATTTGCGTGCATCAAAACCTTTTAAAGCTTATCCAACCACGCTTATACCGGTTCAGTTAAATTAATCATCATAATCATAATCACAATCATAATTATTATTGTTATTTATGATTATACATGCGATACGGATCGTAAAGCTCCCCTGAGGGATTATTAACAAGTTGACTTTCGCTTTCGGTTGACCAAGCGATCGTCGGGGAATTGTATCAAGAGTTCAGCATCTTGCATCTTAAATTAAAGTTAAGTTAAATCTCGAGTTGCTGTTATGTTACGTTACGTTACGTTAGGTACACTGTCTTATATTATGTCTCGTGGTTTACTTATTCTTAATCCTCCATATCAGCTGAATGTCGATCTACGTATAAGGAATTTCCCTGCCCCGCCCCGGCCAAGCATCTCAGGATACATGTATGAGATCGTGATTAATTGCGTAAATCCAAATCGATATAAAAAGTGAGTTTTGGCGATGCATTTATAAATTTATAAGCATCGCATTATAAACTTACCATGTAACATAACATATTATAACGATGTAACGTGTTTTTGTTGGGAAATATATCTGCCACTCCCTTTTATTTATTTATTTATTTATTTATAGGTGCTGGTAGGTACTACCGATATTAACCGGGCTACCGGTCGTAACAATGACAAAGTGGATTTTTAAAGGTGATACGTCAAAGTTTTACTTAATCGTCCCGGTCACTCTGTTTCAATTAACCGATTTTATTTATTGGCTTTACTACTGAGAAAATTATAAGACAATCACCGGGTAAAATTGCTTACAAGACCGGTTACCAGTTGCGGTGCATTGTTTCGGATTTATGCGGTGCCTTTTTATGCAATTAATAGGATCGGTTGATTTATTTAGATTAAGATCCAGATTTAGATGGAAATATTGTGGGAGATAGAGTTGTTACTTAGTTACTGAACTTGAGTTGGGGTTAAGTGTTAAGTGTTTATAAGTTGTTAATGACTTCGTTTGCTCGGGTTCTGTTACTTATGTGAACCAACAGGCTAATACAATTTATTATTATACATTTTTACCTCCTGCTTCACGCTAAATAAATTCTGGTTAATAATTTATTCAACATAAACATGTCAGTCTTGTGGTCTTTTAAAGTGCGAGAATATTGAATGTATATTTATCGAATGTCCATCTTATAATATAGTGAGACATCTATTATCAATAATTATTAATGATCTGCTGTTATGTAACACTTATAGCACTTTTCAATAATCTAACTTGTTGTAGATGTAAATCTATTTTGCATGACTCATGATGCGAAGCATCAGAGAGTGTTTTACGATCGAAAAATTTTTTTCGCCTCATTTCGGCAACTATTTTTATTATTCAACCCTGCACTGAAAAAAAAGTTTTTTGATACCAAGGAAATTTTTCCTTATGGTTAAAAAATTGATATTCTTATGATTAAAATACGAAAGTTTTTTAACTATAAGAATACATTTTTCTCACTGTCAAAAATCTAGCCTTATAATAAAAGGTGGTATTTTAAGATTAAGAATACCAGTTTTTTTAAATCAAGAAACTCGAGTAAAAAATTTAGTATTCTCGGTGGAAAAAAATTTTTTTTCAGTGTGATTAGTTCACAGAAACAAGATATTTTGCATACTATTGTCAAGATAATTTAATGGAGATTGTTGAAAAAAATTTTATTTTGTTTAAGGTAGTACCTCCGCGACAATCCAGATAAAAAATTTTGACTCGCTATCCATGTTATACGTAACGACAGAGCTAAGGTTGTAGGTTAAGATTTTTTAACGTTACTGTACTCGTCGACTTCTATATTCTCTATACATATACACACACACTACGGTTTCAGTGACTAGCAGCTGTTTTTCGTACCCCCTCTCCTAAAAATAATTCTCTAAAAGTGAAATTTATTTTAATTAATCTCGAAAACTACACGGTAAATAATTTTCATTTTTTTTTAATTGTTCTAAATATCATATTCTTCAATCTACTAGTTTTTTGATAAAGTCGTGAAATTTCTTTGATGGAAAAAATTAAAAATACTGTCATTTTCCCACGTTTCTCCTATGTTACATGTACAAAAATGTCATTTTCAATTGCAATTATCTCAAGTTTGGTATGGTAAATCGTCTTCAAATTTTAACAGCATATGTATTATGTATTTAATTACTTATATTCAAAGTTTCGAGGATTTCTTAAAATATTGCTATCATAACCGTACTACCTTAAGACTTTTTCCATGAAAATTTGTTTCATGAGGTCTATTTTCTGAAAATATAGTTCCAAAGATCAGAAAAATACTTCAATTACAAATTTACAACCATGTAACATTCTATGCTTGTAAAGGTAGACCATCTTATTAACTCCGCCGTCCATCTTACAGCATCAAACAAATTTTATTTTGCTTAAGACTTTTTCCATAAAAATTTCTTCCATGAGGTCTATTTTCTGAAAATGTATATTAGTTCCAAAAATCTCCATTAAAAAATAATTGATTCCATACTTTTCAAAAATTGATTAAGTACGTAATAGAAACTGAAAAAAACATCAAAATAATTTTAAAAAATTTCCAGTCCGTCACGTATGAAACCCTGAAAACACTGTAATTTGCAATTAATAAAATTAAAAAAAAAAGCCGAAGGACTGTATGTCTATATATATTGAGTACATTTATCCCACTAGAGGCACATGCACATTATCATCCTATTTCAGTTGTTTGATATTTTTTTTACATTCGCTTTATATCATTATTATTTCATAATAATGAATCGTACACTTTTGGATTTTCCAAATTTTTTAAATATTGTAGTAATTGTTTTTTAACTGAAAATTTCGTATTGAAAGAATAATGTTACCCATTCTTATATTATAAAATAGAACGGAAATATTTTTTTACTATAAATCTTTCTGTTCTCAGAGTTTGTATTCAATTTTAATGAACAGGATTAAAAAAAAATTCATATGCATTGATTGAATAAAATTTTTTCATTTGAACTGTAATAATAATTATTGTTCGATGATCAGTGAATTATTAATGTGAAATTCTACTTTTTTAATTATCGTTTTGATTTTTTAGTTTTATCATCACTGCGATATGATAATATTTTACGTCTGTCGGAAGCATCGGCACAATTCAGCATTGAACGACATTATTAATGATTGCTCGGAATCTAATCAAGCAAAAAAATTTTAATTAGAGCAACTAATTAGCAACAAAAAAGTAAAAAATTTAACAACACAAATAAATTGAATAATGACCGAGATACTGATGATCAATCCTGGATGAGTCGATGTCATATTGACAAATCTTAATTTTTCGTTAGAAACCAATTCAAATCAATCAAAAGTACTGACGGTCTTTTATTTCTTTAACAATCTTTATTTTCATTAAATTAAATGTTTATTCACTTTAAAATAGCCATTCGCTTTAGATAAAAAAAAATTATCAACTCAAAAAAGATAGTAAAAGTGTATTTTACTATTCAAACTCTAATACCAAGCAATTTTTAATTTTTTAAATGTAAAATCTTAAAATAGTATAAGATATTAACCAAATTTTGGAGCATATTTATTTATTTAACACTATCTGCATTTTACATTTACAAATTATAGTATAAATATATTTGCGCGGTACAATGATCAAGAATTTTAACTTCTGACGGTAAAGATTAATTATTCGATTATATTGAAATTAATTAAATTAAATTTTAATTATTCAAAAGCTTGACTACACCTAAAGTAATTAAGCTGATTAGCGAAGTCGTTCCCATTTCTGAAGATCTTGTTCTTGAGGCCATTCTTGATGTAAGCTCTTCTTGAGGATTATTCAATAGTCTGTTCTATTTCCGTAGTTTCGCTGGCACAAGTAATTTGACTTCATTGACAATTTCTGGGTTATCTATATACGTATACATTATGAGTTTGTTGAAATTAGAAATCAAATTTGACAAAAATAATTGTTTAAATATTTCAAGATTAATAGTGGTAGAATTTATAAGTTTGTTAGTTTCGGATCGACATTGAAAATTTTTTAATTTGTAGAAACTAAAGAAATTGATATCCTTAGTCCAATTTTTTAAAATTTAATTACCAAATATCAATGTATCTTTTATTTCTTTATAATTACTCGTTACCATTCCGTTACAATCTACAATAAAAGATAAATTAGTTTTAACTGTTTACGTTACGGACGATAAAGTTATAAATAAAATCGAGATCAAGTATCAAGATCATTATTTTATTACATTTTTTATACAGTTCCAGAAACCGGATTTTATCAATAAAATTTAAAATTTTAAACAATCCCGCGAAATTGACATCAGAATGCCGATCTCGAAACTCCAAGCACTTATATCTTATTATTACACGTGATATGTGTGAAATAGGTATTACATTTAATTACATGTGTTTGCATGTAAGTGAAGAGCAAGTGATAATTTGGAGCACTTGTTCTTTTTATTTCACTGCACAGACACGTTTAGTTTTATTTCTCGAGCTCAGCGATGCTTGATCCTGATGATAATGAAAATTTACCGAGACGAGGTCGCCGCCTTATATTCAATATTATTCAATCGACATCTTTCTTTTATTTACTTTCATGTTTAGAGTTTAATTCGTGTCTGTTCTTAAGGCCGTTTAACATTAACACCATACAAGTTATACTGCAACGTATAATTAATAATCACTTACTCACTTTTACTCTCGATTTTTTTACTGTACTACAAACATGCTGGCATTGAACCCGACGTGATGAGAGTATTAGATATGTCATTACCATTACAATTACAATATACAATGTACATTGATGTTCCTTCGACATGGTATGTTACGAACAATCGCTATTATAATTAGATTTATTTAAATTGTATATTATAGACAAGTATTATGACTTGGAACGATGACATTTAACATAAGTATTATTTAATTGTATGACATCAGGGCTTGGTTTTATTCATCAATAACGTACTGTAATAATAAAGATCTACTTGCGCGGAGAAAGTTCATATTAGCAAGTTCACAATAATCAAATTTTTTAGGAAGAAATTAAATTTGTAAGCTTCAAAAAGGAAATTTTTGAATTGTTCATTAAGATGTTTATGATTATGTTTTTCAAAAAATTAAAAAAAAAATTTTTTTGTCAATTTTTGAGTTCTTATCATTTATAAAAAACCTATTAAAAATTGGAAAAATACACGGAAAAAAGTACACTGTAATAAATAATAGTCGATTTATAATAAGTAATGATCAACTGGAAAAAATTATGATTTCAAACAGTAAAATCGTGATTTTAACAATTACTCTATAATATTTATCATTTAAATGCTACAATTTATTATTTAGATAGAAGAAAATACCATTTCAAACAGTAATATTCTCTATGTGAAAGTCGAAAAAGTTAAAGTATAATAATTAAGAATTTTGACTTTGATATTTATCATTTGGTATCTAAAAAATGATCGCATGATATGTAAAAAATATAAACTACAGTTACTAAATTTTCTACACTGATAAAAAAATTGACTTGACTCAAGAGCCAAACTCTTGAACCAAGAATTCCATTTTGAAGAAAATAATTTTCTTGGTCTAAGAAAATTTTCTTGAGTCAAGAATTTATTCTCTTGACTCAAGAAAATCATTTTCTTCAAAATGGAATTCTTCGTTCAAGAGTTTGATTTTTGAGTCAAGTTAATTATTTTATCAGTGTATACAAGCAACGTCAATATTTACAAAGTAAAATGCTAAATTTTAAACGCAACGCTAAAAATCAAACTATAATTATTGATTTGCCTGGACTGGTAAAATATATATTTTTACTGTTTCAAATGTTAAATTTTCCGTGAGTGATAACGATCATTATTTACTATATATAGTGACAGCTACTAATCTCATTTTCGATATTAAATTATAAATTATGGTTTTAACACTTTCTACATTAAATTTTGTGATATTTACATTTGTGCCACCCCGATGTCCGCTGTACTATTTGAAATTATAAAAATTAACCGAAATCCGAGTGAATTTTACAGTTTACTTTTTTCCGTATAAGCATTTTAACAAAAATTTATTTTCAATTTTTTTTATACATGTGTAAGTTACTCGAAAAAGTTTAATCACCTTGATTTATCTATTTTTTAGGATTAAAAAATTTTTTCTTTCAATTCGAAAAAGTCAAAAATTTAAAAAAAAAAAGAAAAAAAAAATAATTGTTCAAAAAAATTTAATCACATTGATTTTTGAAATATTTTTTTTTCTTTAATGGAAAAAATCGACATTTTCCATTTGTTTTCAATAAAAAAAATTTGATTAAGAAAAATTTAATCCTTTAATTTTTATGGTTTAAAAAAAATTTTTTTTTTTTCATTGGAATTTGCCTCCAATGGGATACTTAAAAAAATCCAATCGTTCAAAAAAATTTAATTACATTAATTTCCCGATATTTTCACGTTAGAAATAAGTAAAGCCACAATCTTAGTCACTACTAAATTTCAAAAAACACTGAATAATAATACCATATTATTAATATGTAGGATACCACCAGTGTAGTTACTTTTACTAGTTAACATTCACGGCAAATTATGGCTATAAAAATTCCAGCATCACACTTATAAATAAATAAACAAATAAAATTATTATTTTTTCAGGTCTTGGAGATCTTCGCAAGTCCTTGGTACAATTAAACCCAGTGCTCCAGTTTGTAATAAGTATAAACGATGCTCGAGGCAGACTAAAGACTTCGGCGGATGCACGTCAAGAAGCTGTCGCACGGATCTTACGAGTTTTAAATAAAGTAATTTCCATACTTGATGTAGTTCATAAGCTATCCACCGTGTTTATTATATTGTCGATATGTTTGATGAAACAATAAAAAAAAAAACTTGGCACAATTGAGGGTTTGATAAATGACAATGAAAGTTTGACAGTTGTGTGAAAAAAAGAAGAATACCTGGAGAGAATGTACGAACGAAAGTGCCAAGGCTCTTAACGTTCACTTGTGGTTGTTAGATATCGTTCAATGTTTTTACTTTCTTTAATCTCTCTAACCTCATGGCTATATCGTATACTACTTCTTCGTTCATGCTCTTGCTCAGCTTCCGGCATAAGCATAAGTTTAAAATAATTGTATCATTTCGCTTTTTTTTTGCTTGAGGTGGACGGCGTCGAGCTCAACGTAACTGCGGGAACCAAAGAGCGGTTAGTGCACTTCGTTCAAGGGCTGAAGAATGAAATTACCCGGAAGACGTTGAAGAAAAGAATTATTTTGGCTTTGCCGACTAAGTCCGAGCAGCTTGCCAAGCAGTTTGACATTAAGGAACTTTCAAAGTATGATTTTTTTATTTATTTTTTCGATATTAAAACTTATCTTAATTTTCTGTTTTTGTTTCTCAAAATAGAAGAACACATCAAATTTCAAAAATAATTATATAAATATAAAACTTCTTCAGAATGAATTAGTGCCACATTAATGATTGCTTTTTTTGCGCCAATTAAGTAGTTAAGCATTTAATTCGTTCCGGGAACTGAGTATTTGTGTATAGGTACAAAATCATTCATAAATATTATTCATTGAATTTTAAGGTTGATTCATTGATTAAATTTAAATTTGGATTGGTTAAGGAGTAATCAAATTAATATCAATATAAACTACAATTTATTTTTAAAAGTTTCTTTTTTTTATCAACTCTTATGTTGCATCATTCGATTCTTTGTACACTGACCCCGGGTCAAAAAATTTAGTCTGTTTTATGATTAATAAAATGTTTTAATATTTTTCATTCAATTTAATTTTATTATGTGTATCTATTTTATATGAGAATTTAATCTGTTTTTGCCCGTACTATTCACAATTCAGACCAATTTCAGATCATTTTTAATGTTATAATAAAATGGTTTTCTATTGTTTCAAGACCAAAATCAGACTTTATTTGTCACAATCATTTAGCTGGTTTTGATCGCATCAAGGTCAAAAACAGACCAAAACGTTCTATAATTTTTAGTCGGTTTTTCATCGCCTGTAGATCAAAAACCGACCTTTTACGAATTTGATAATAATAATAATATTAATATTTATTATTATTTTATTCATGTCCTCGAAGATCCTCTACAGAGCACGGCTTTTCATTCTCTGAAACTGAAATAGTGACAATTCACTATTTCGTAGTGCAATGTATACCAAAACGGTACTCTTCGCACTACCAAATAGTGAATACCACTCATTAAATGATGCGTGAAAGTATAAAATTTAACATTAATCTTGTCAACATTTTAATCTTATCTCGATGTATTCACATTGCTCGTGAAAAAATTTTTCGATATCGCAAGATTTCATATATTGCCAGATATAAGCTCATCTGATTAGAATATTTTTTTTATTATTTCTATACATTTTTTAACATGTCGTTTTAAACAAAAATTAGTTTAGTAGTTGATTAAAAACATTAATTTGATTTTAGAACTTAACTCTCTTTTAACGAGACAATTCAGTGATCATAAGTCTTCTGTTGGAAATTTTTGAGACTATCTTTAGTCAAAATATAGGGTAGAAGTACCGGTTTTGGCCATCTTAGTGCCATTTTTGGCCACTTGATATTTTAGTTAATTTGTAAAAAATTTAACTATTCAAGTAGAATTTTCATAGAATTTATGAATTAGTATATTTATACGAATTGAATTCATAAAGTCTTGCGCTTATAGAAATATTTATACAATAATTTGAAAATAAAGTGACCAAAAAAGGTACACTGGCCACAAATGGTACTTCTACCCTATGTATACGCGCGTATATGATCATATTAGACCTGATATGGATATATTGTCAGATCACGCCATATCAAGTCAGTTATTTTCATATACAGGGTGCCCCAAAATTACTGTAAGGCCATCTTCCAGTTCAAAAAATGAATGGGCATTACCATAGGTTCAAAAAATAAAATAGGCATTATCATAGGTTCAAATTTCCTCTAAGCTTATCGATCTGACCTCCCTACTCTTTAATTTTAGAGGCGCCAATTAGCTACCTTCCAAATAAAGGCCTACTGTAATTAGCTGTAATTTAAATTGTAATGCAAATTTTTTAAAATCGTTTAGGAACTTTTGATTCAGAATTTCCATCTCTATACCCCTATAAAAGCTCTTACAGTAATTTTGGGACACCCTGTATAGTCTGATATGGCCAGTTTTTATACTGAGCCATGTTTAGACATCAAATTTTTTGGCATAACCATACATATGTCAGGTTATATCAGAAAATTTTTTCACGGAAATAAAATTGACTTTGTTCAAAAGTAAAAATCTTGTGTCAAGAAAATAACTACAAAGAATTGGATCATCTTGAATCAAGAAAAAAATATTGAACGGGGTAAAATTTACTTAAACTCAAAAAAAACTTTTTAGCTCAAAATCTTTCCACTTCAATTCAAGATTATCCAAAACTATTTTCTTGATTTAACTAAATCAAATTTAGTTTTTTTATTAATGTACAGTTTTCAGATATTGCATTATGAATTACTTAAAATAATGAGAACATTATTACAAATATTTTTAATAAATAACTGCAATAGTAAACGCACTCTACAAATTAGTAAGTTAATTTAAATTATAACTAATTCAATAAAATTGATACTGCTCCATTCATTAAAATCCCAAGATTATTAAAGCTCTCGTAATTTTGTAGCATTCTATTTAGCCTTAGGATCCCAATAGTTGCACATTTTAATGATTGATGGAAATCAACTTATCCGTCCATTCACTATGAAAATCCGTCAATTACATATATTTTTATAGTTGTAAAATATTCTGATTTTTATTTGACTACTAATGATACATATAATAAATATATGATATGATATACTTATAGACACGTATTGAGGGCTTTAACTTGTAAGATAACTATTGAAACATAAAACAACAAGCCATAAATAATTTTTAACCATTTAAGACAGATCAGCAATAAATCAGAACAGATATTAATTTTTTCATAGATAATTGCGATTTAACAACAACAATTAGTGGGATTAATTGGCTCTTCATATCCTTGAGCCAGATGTCTAGTTGACCAGTTGTCGCAATAATCTACGCACTAGTTTTTAGTTCTTCAATTGGAAAGGATTGCGTCAATTTTTTTTATTTATGTTTTTCACCAGCTGTCTCTCTCATTTTTTCACCTCCAAATAAAGAGATTGAGCAAATAAAACGCCCAGTGTAACATAAACATAATGTCAAGATTTATTTTCAAAGTCTGCCATGTAATGACACATTAGTAATGACTAACACATCTCAATTTGTACTTACCCTCTTTTGAACACTTTCAGATACGTCGACTTATTTGCCATTCCGACACACTATCTAACTGACGAGGCGGAAAATTACAAGACGTTCCATCCGTCCAGGCTGATGGGACTCTTCGACTTGCTAAATACCGACAGCCTGGTTGATCTTGTCCACGGCCTTGGGGCCGCCAAGAGGAAAATTCTTGTTTCCTTACCGGCCAGCGGTTATAAGTTTACCCTCAAGATCAAGGACCTGAATACACCTCGAGCACCGGCTGAAGCAATCAGTCCCGTTTCTATCAATCGGGAGCAACTTTGTCGGGCTATCAGTCAGGGTGAATGGACCATTGAGAGAGACGAAGATCTCACAGCTCCTTATGCGTTTTCAAATAATTCTTGGATCGCTTTTGAGGATAAAATTTCTGCTAAGATAAAGGTTGATTTTATTTTAATTAAAAAAAAAAAATATTAGAGACTAAGGGTTAATTTATGATTATGCATCAATTGGATCCAGGGTCTCTTAAAAATTTTTTTAATTTTCAGGGAAAATATGTCTTACTCCGTGACTTGGCAGGCTTGGCCATAAGAGACCTCGAAAATGATTTGAAAAATGATTGCGGAAATACCATCACTGAAAACGTTTACAATTCAATTACCGAAAATAGGCGAAAATCTCGAGAAGCTGTGTTAACTTCTTTAGAAGATGATATTTATGTAAGAATTAAAGCAATTCTTTAATATTAGGATTTAATAATTGATTTAATTTAATCTAATTCTTTTTAGAGTCCAGAAACTTTATACCCGAAAAATTTGAAGTCTTCTGACTACAGAATCTCAAGAATCATCGATAGTAAGGGACAAATTCAAGCTGTGCGAGAAAATATTCAAACAGAGTTTTCTTGCCCTCATCAAGGGTACTACGTACATCCGCACAGTTGTAACAGGTAATCATAAATCACCATATCATAAAAACTTATTTTCATCAATAAATAATTATCCGTAGATTCTACCGATGTGTGCAATTCGATCAACATGTTGAGCAGTACAGTGTCTTCGAATTCGACTGTCCTGCTGGCTTGGCCTTCGACGAAACTACAGATGTTTGTGTGTGGCCTGGTTCCCTTTCGAAAGGTTCAGCGTGTCCTGGTAGTCCTGAAATAGCGCCGTCGGCTCCTAAAAGGTTTGAGTGCTCGAAAGAAGGTTACTTTGCGGATCCCGAAAACTGCCAATGGTTTTTCGCCTGCATGGACTTGGGTAATTTTTTTATAATCATTATCATGTCATTAATCATTGTAAATTTTGTATAAATGATTGATTGATGGAAAATAATTACTTTTAGGAGGAGAAAAAATGTTGGCGTACGAGTTCCAGTGTCCTTACGGATTAGTGTTCGATGAAAGTAAATTAGCTTGTGAATGGCCGTGGTTAGTTCCTAAATGTGCTGGCACAAATTATGAACACAAAGGATTTGGAGGTTCTGGACATCCTGGATATGACGGATCTCATGGAGACGGTGGTTATGGTAGTAAAGGTCATGGCGGTGGAGGTGGTCATGGAGGTTACGATGGCAAAGAACATGATGAAGGTTATGGAGACTATGATGGCAAAGGATATGATGGTGGTTATGGGGGTTATGATGGAAAAGGCCATGATGGAGGTTATGGTGGAAAAGGACATGATGGGGGTTATGATGGAAAAGGACATGATGGAGGCTATGATGGGAAAGGACATGATGGAGGTTATGGTGGAAAAGGACATGATGGAGGCTATGATGGAAAAGGACATGATGGAGGTTATGATGGAAAAGAACATGATGGAGGCTATGGTGGAAAAGGACATGATGGAGGCTATGATGGAAAAGGACATGATGGAGGTTATGGTGGAAAAGGAAATGATGAAGGTTATGATGAAAAAGGACATGATGGAGGCTATGATGGCAAAGGAAATGATGGAGGTCATGATGGAAAAGGACATGATGGAGGTTATGATGGTGAAGGACATGATGGAGGCTATGATGGCAAAGAAAATGATGGAGGTTATGGTGGAAAAGGACAGGATGGAGGTTATGATGGAAAAGGACATGATGGAGGCTATGATGGCAAAGGAAATGATGGAGGTCATGGAGGTAATGGTGAAAAAGGACATGATGGCAGTTATGATGATAAAGGACATGATGGAGGCTATGATGCCAAAGGAAATGAAGGTGGTTACGGAGGCTATGATGAATCATCTCAAGGTGGTGGTGGTGGTAGTGAATATGGCGGCTATGATTATTCAGGTTATGGTGGAAAAGGAATTGATGGATTTTATGACGGTGATAGTGATTACGGTGAAAAAGACATAGGAAAAGAAGATGGAGGACATAATGAATCACATAATAAAGGCGGATCTCATGGCGGTAAAGACACAGATCATAGCTCTGAAATGGGAAAAGGACATGAGGGTGGTCACGAAGAATCTCATGGGACCAAAGATATGGGTCATCACTACGATGGAATGGAAAAAGGGCACGATGGAGGCGAAGATGGACACGGAAATGATGGTCACGACATGCATGGCTACGATAGATCTAATGACGACAAAGAAAAGGATGCTCACTCTGGAAAAGAAGATGAATACCCCAAAAAACCTGAAGATGATTATCAAGAAAAAGACCAAGACAAAGAAAGCGGGCACGGATACACGACTATCAACAGCTATTCGACGAATCCGGACTACCCTTCAGTATTATTTAGTGGATACTCTCCCTCTCCCGGAGGTTACTCAACTGGTGCTGGTCACTCAACTCAAACTGGCCCATACAGACCTCAATACTCCACTTCTGGGTACACTTATTCTCGCCCTGGATACCAAAATACAAAATCAAACTCATACTCTACCAATGACCAGAAAAACACTGTCCATTCCGGCTACTCAACGTATCCTCAAAGCCCAATATACCGCGAAGGTACAGAATTTGTCACTAAAGGCTCTCACGCCCCTGGAATCACAATTTATCAAAAAGAATTCACCAAACCCGGTTCTGGAACAACTTCTCGAGGTCTGTTTACTCCTGGTAAAACCTTCCCTGGAGTCCTAGAAGAAGGCAACACAATAATCACCCGCCCCTCTTTTGGAAACGAGTATTACCCTAACCAAGCTGGAGGATCCTTCACACAAGGCGCGACTATTAAAACCCAAGAATCATCTGTAACTTCAGGCAACCAATTCTACACAAACAAGGCTGGATTTGGATCTAAGATACCTACTCTTACTCCTGTCTCATCGATACCTTCTACTGGAAATGGGTATTACTCTACCGGATTTGCTACTGGAAATGGATACTACACTCCAGACTTAAAACCTAAGGGATATACATCAGTAACTTCCACTGGAAACGATTATTACACAAACGAGGCCAGCAAATCATACAGCGGAAACACTTACTCAAATCCAGGGTATACTTCTGTCTACACTAAAAGTAACATAAATAAACAATTCAAGACAACAAATTACGGAAATAAAGCTTTTACTCCCATAGAAGCGAATTATCCAGGAAACACCTATTACACAAACCAATCAGGATACAATAAAACTATAAGTGGCTCCAGCGGAACCTTGTTTACTCCCAAAATGTCTGTAACGGCAACCGGTAACGAGTTCTACCCTAACCAGGCGGGTAACCCGATAACCAATCTAGAGATTCCAATAACCACCGCCGATGATGGCACCGGGTACAAGACAAATGAGTATTACGACAACGGCGGCCGCGGGACTATTCGCTACAATAACGGTCTTGTTACTCACAAATACACCGAGGAAGACATTAAAGATAATGGAGCTATTTTCCCAATCTATCCAACCCCCGATTTCGGGCAGACTAACACCGTTAGTGCTAGCTCCAACGGAGTCTACACTCGAGGAGGATTTACGAAAATAGGACCGACCAAAACGGGAATTACTACTGCTCAGATTGGAGGCACCGGAAGCTATGTAGCTCAAGATTTAGATATGCAAAAACCGAGAGGCAAACCAGATCAGATTGGTGCTAACGCCTTCGGAACTGTTCCTTCTAAAGAATCCGCTAAAGGTCAAGATAATTCAGTGCCTACAGTAACTCCTTTCTTCAATGTGCAGGTGTACAATGGTCCGAGTGTTGCGACAGCTTCACCGGCGGTTGCTAATACGTACTCCTACGCGAAATCAACGACTCCCCAGTATCAGGAAAACATGTATCAGTATGATAAGACGTCTATTGCTGCCTCTGCTGGGGAATACAGCCAACCTGGGAGCAAGTATCCAACACTCAGCATAGGAGCGGTCGGTTATACCAGTTCCCCGGTTATCGATTATCAGACCACGGTATTCGAGGCCGCGAGAATTCCAACCGTTCCGAAAGTAAAGGTTGATGCTGCCTTTAGTACCGACTCTCCTCCAGTTCCAGCGGGTGGATATTCTAATGGTAACGATGGTTCCCTTGATATTAATGTATCATTCCAACCGACTGGCTCCAGTTTTTCTGCAGCTGAAGACAATGAAGTTACGAAAACTGGATTTGGATACGAAGGATCTCAGGATCAGACTGATTTCAGAGGGAAAGTTGAGGACAAAGAATCTGTTAGTGTTGAGTCGGCTTCTTATCAATCCACTGCGAGCAATGAGCAGGTAATTAATTAATTTAATTATTTTAATGATAAATCTGAATAATATTTTTAATAGGTAAATTTTAAGAATAAAACTCCAAAATTTTAATTTGTTTCAACAAAACATTTCACTTAACTTTATGAGCATAAAATATACTTCACATTCTCTCAATATATCTACCTCGAACCCGTTATCTAATAAAACAACTTTCAATTTAAAAAAAACACCTCATTAACCCAACCGTTATATTTCAATTACCCGCCGATAAATCAAAGATAACATTTCAATGATAACTTAAATCCCCATAATTAATTCCAATTTGTAACCTAATTTCAGAACCTCCGAGTACCGACATTCGTGATATCTTACACCGAGGCGCCTGGCTCCAAAAAAACCAAGGAATCGCCCATAAAAGGATACAGTTATACTGGGTCAACACCGAACTTCGACACCAAAGCAACTCAGCCACTTAAGTATCCATCAAAACCCTCGCGACCTACCGTCACGCCTCAAACTAATCTCAAAAAACCAACCTCTAATTACAACCGCGGTATCGTTAAATACACGCCAGCTGACTACGATGAAACTAGATACTCTTCTGGCTTATCTGGCACAGATTCTCATCCAAAGACTCCAGACTACGATATATCTGAAAACAGTTTCCCTACTGAAAGAAACCGTTACCAGTCCACTAATCTTCCGTCAATAAGTAAATCTTCTTCATCGTTTTCCGGAACAGGACGGTTTAATTCTTACACAACAAATCGGCCAGTGACAACCTACTCCGACAGCAACAGGAAAATCGAGCTATCAAAATCCGATGCAATTTCTAAATCCAGCGAAGTTGCTACGACCAAAACCGCGGTCGGGAAAGTAATCGTGAAATTCAGTGATCTACATCCACTTTTGTTAGGGAAACTGGGCGCAGAGTGCACGTGCAAGGCCGATCCATTTGCGATCAAAGGAAACAAGCCGTTGTTGATCGACTCGTCAAACGGGAAAGTTGATCTGAGAAACTACGACGAGTCCGACATTTATGTCGACTTGGACAAGAACAGATCTGGAGATTCTTACGAGTCCTATGAAAATTATGAGTCGAAATCTTCAAAGGAAGTCTTTTCTTCAAGAGTTACTCCAGTTGTTGCCGAATTCAACAACGGAAGGACAAAGACTGCCAAGATTCGAGTACCTTCTCCAGGATACTTGCCTGCTTCTCGAACAATTTCTGCAACAAGACGGCCTCTTTTGTCGAACAATCTCGTATCTACCACTGCCTCATCTCTTCGGGTGTCTGCCAGTGACATAGAATCCTACTCAACGAGAGCTAGATCCCGGAGTGGAAAAAGTATCGGTACTTTCAGGTCAACCAATTCACCTTCACCGTCTGGACCAGTCACGGAACCAACAAATAGGGCTTCTGAAGACAGAATCGACTACGGAGAAGTGGGTGTTCTCGAATTGAATCCCGAAGGCAAGGCCGAGTGTGCTCGTCCTGGATTGTTCAGGCACCCCAAGCTCTGTAACAAATTTTACGCGTGTCATTGGGACAACTGGAAGAAGAAGTTCACGCTTCATATATTCAATTGTCCGATTCATTTGACATTTGACAACCGCGCTGGAGCTTGCAATTGGCCGACAAAGGGGCCAGCTTGTCAGGATAACAATCTATTGGTTTAATGATTAGTTGTGTTGGAAATCGGAATTGGTTAGGTAAATAGAGTCGCTGTATTTAATTTTATGGTCACTTAACGTTGAAAAATTAAAACAAGGCCCATAACCTGTAGAAAACTAAGGTCGTTTTTTTTTTTTAATTAATTTTAAAGGTTGTGGAGTTTGTTTCAATTCTTAAGAGCATTTTTTGTAAGCCAATTTAAAGAAAACCTTTATTACAATATTCAAATTTGTAAACCGAATGTTTCTGATGGTTTGATTTTATTTTTAAAAAGTCATTTCTAGTAAAATTAATTCTCTGAGTAGTCAATTTTTGGTGATTAATTGATTATTTTATTATAAACGACGAAGCTTTGGAGTTTGCTATGAAATTTTTTAAAAAACGAGAGGAGAATAATTATTAGTAGCGTATTTGGTAAATATAAATTAGTGATTGTCGTTGAGCTGCATGGCGAGGAGGTGATAGTAAGTAGCACGAAAGCGTCACTGGCATCGAGTGAAAGTCGATCCGAATTCACGTTGACATGGTCCCTTATAGATCAAATTATATATTACAATAAATAAATATATGTGTATGTGTAAGATAAATGTAGTTAAAAATTCAGTGACATTAATTTGCTTATATTTTCAAATGATTAATGTATATAACGATGATGTGAATTTTATATTCGAAATTTATTAAATTTGTAAATAAAGTGAAAGAATAAAATTTGTTGTTAGTTATTATGATTTTATAATGTCATTGATATTAAGTATTTGAATATGTCGTTGCGTAAATAATATTTTATTCATGATTAATTATTAATGAGCCTTTTGTAATACTCTCGAGTCTATACCTCTTAAAATAAATAAATATGTTTTTATTTCAAATATATTAATGGTTATATTCATTATTTATTATAATGCTCTTTGTTTTAAAATTATGTGAAAAATTAATTCATTTAAAATTTTGATTAATGTGCATGAATCATGAATTGTTGTGAGTAGTGATTATTTATGATAAAATTGATAGTTATGAGGCTATCAAAATTAATTTTTCCTTTTGAATTTTATTTTTTTTTTTTTTTTTTTTACCATGAAGAAAAATAATCATAAGAATTAAAAAGCTTTTAAGGAAATCCTTTCGCTCCAGTTGAGTCAAAACAATTGTAGTAGTCACAAAAATTTAATTTTTAGTTTTTTTTTACTTCATCTAATCCATGACTGATAGTATAATTCGAGAAATACTGCAAACGTCTGACTTTCTCGTAAGACTCTGAACAAATACTAGCATTTAAAAATTTTATTTTTTCAAAAATTTGTCCGGTAAAGTATAATTTAAACCTCACTATTAGGTAAATAAAGACCTTAACTATTAGAAAAAAATTGAATTTATTCATAATCTAATATTTTTTATTTTACATTGGCGGCGAAAGGACCTCCTTAAATTAGATAAATAATTTTCCGTTTGCTTGTTTTCTTTTCTTTCAATAATGTTCATTAAATAGAATAAATATTGTTATGAATTATAAAAAATAAAAAAAGAAAGTCACCTTAAAAACTATAAATTAAATTATCAGTTGCACAGTAATCAAGCGCTATTTAGTTAATAATAATATTTATCTTAGGAAAAATGTTCTACACCATTGCTCTCGATTGATGAAAGCCGCGGTTGCAACACTAATTTAAACATAACTCAATCGCGTAGGGTCAGTGAAACTAAGTAGTGCTCGATTAAAAATGATTAAAGTCCAATAAAAAAAAGTTATTGAAACGTTACTCAATGAACAATATACTCAATCTGTCATATTTATAAGCCTTTACTGATAATATATATAAAATTTTCCATGTTGTTAATATACAGATCAATATCTTGAAATTTACTTCGATTATTATATTTGCATAATAATTAATTTAGTTTGACAATTTTATCCGACAAATTCACAGTCTAAAAATTTTGTTCTTGAAAAAATGATTTTTTTCCTGCTGTTGCAGCCTTTTGACGGATCAAATTATGAAAAAAAAAAAAAAAAAAATATAACGTGGCGCTTCACATAAAAAACTGAAAAAATTACAGTTTCAGGTTGTAATTTTTACAGATTTTGTTGTAAAATATAAATATTACACTTAAAAGCTTCGAAAATTAACATTCAAACTTTGAATTTTAAAAATGTTATTTCAGACTGCAATTTTTCTAGTTTTAAATTTAAAATTACACTTATTACTATTTATAATGTAATTTTTTTCATTTTTTTTTCCGTGTACTGTTCGCATTTTTATCATTTTTTAAATCTATATACTGATAAGAAAACATTGAGTTGATTAAAAAAAATAAATCCTGAACCAAAAAAATCATTTTGAAAAGTTATATCATCTTGAAACAAGTGGAAAAATTTCTTCATAAGAACTGTTAAGTTAATTAAATATAACTTTTTAAAATTAAATTATTTTTAAATAAGAAATATTTTTTTGCGAAAAAAAAAGAAAATAAAATTTCACTAAAAAATTTCTTATCTAAAAATAATTTTCTTAGTTAAAATGTTTTCTTTTGAATCAAGTAAATTTTTTTCATTAGTGTAAGTTATATAATTGTTTTTTTTTTTTTTTTTTTATTTTTTTTTTTTTGAGTTAACAATTCACTTTCATACAGATAATTAATGATTCAATTAATTTTTCTATAATTCTCTTAATATCAATGAAAATAATTTCAAAAAAATTTAATCTCACATTTGCTATTAAATCTTTACAACTTAATAAAATAAGTAATTAAATAAAAAATAAAAAGTTCAAGTCAGCAATTGCCTTGAGGCAGATCAAAAAGTCAAGCATCATCATAACGATAAAAAATTCCTTGATAATGTTCAATGTTGCAATAAAGATTTAAAAAAAAAAACAACAATAAAATATTTTATTTTCTTCTAAAAATAGCCACATGCATCTACCGTTAAACGCCGTGATATTAATCACAAATATCTAATGATTAATAACAATTATAAAAGGCGGCTCAAGTGTCAACTGTCAACGAATGACAGACTCTCTCCGACAAATCGTTAGAGTCAACCAAAGATTTATTCGACGGTATCTCCGTGATCCATATAATATGTAATCATTAATAAATTTTAGTCATGCAAAGTGGAAACATATATATTAGAGTTGGCACCGGCGAGTGAGGAGTGAGTAACGTCTTCCTGGTTCGCCACTTATCTTATTCTGAACATAACAATTTACTTCATTACATGCCTCTGCACTGAGGACTGACGTGTATATTAATGCATGTCAATATAGTATAATGTATAATACAAGTGAGCACACTGAATACTAATGTTAATGTAAAAGAATAAACAAGTAAAAGGAAATGAAAGAAGTAAAGGTGAAAGATAAAGAAATTATGAGTTCTCCAATTTCAGCTACAGTCGTTTCAAAAGTGTGCCGTCAAAAGCGAACGCGCTGTATGACCCACTGATACAGATTACTATACCGAGATTTTGTTACAGACTAAGTAGGAAGGAGTAGAGCTTCATCGAATGAAAGAGACTTCAATGACGTTTTATTGTGAAAGAATATAAGAGCTCAAGTCATTACTGTCTCTTGATTACTTTTTTAACTACTGTGTGGTTTAAACCCAAATAACTTTATTTTGTTTCAACGCTTACTCTTTGGTTCTTTGATATTTTTCTTTATAAATATTTTATTTTTAATAAGAATTAAAATTTAATAAATAATATATAATGAGATCGTTTCCGCACTGATAAAATATCATTTTGAAGACTTAGATAATTTTTAATCACCTAAAAAAATTCGGAAACTAAAAAATTGTTCTTGATTCAAATAAATTGTACTTGATATTTTTTCAATATTTTTTTTTTATTCAATATTTTTATTTTTATTTATTAAATATTCAATATTGTTTTTTACCTGATCCAAAATGATATTCTTAATTGGTTAAAGAATTGTTTTCTTAAATCAAGTTATTTTTTTAACAGTGCAAAATGAGTCTAATGAATAATGATGATGTTGATCATGTAATTGCTTATTTATTTATCAATTTACTTATGCAACGAAAAGGTTTAGATTTAGATTTAGATTTAGATTTATTAATTTATGCCAAGGCACAACAGCCAAATGGCAAGTATACAACAAATACAATATTTACAGCATTTACAGTAAAGTAGAGTCTTAAAACTAGATTAATCTATATAAACTAGATAAATTTTTTATTTTACGTATAAAAGAACAATAAATACTGGGAAAATTTTTCCTATACAGTTTTATAGTTATAATTTTAATGTTAATCTTTATCTTAATCTTAATCAGGTGACCAAGCTCATAGTCCAAAAAAGTCAAAACAAATTTGAAATATTTTTCAACAATTTTGAAAAAAAATTCTCTAGAAATTTAAGAGTTAGTTGTAAATAAAACAGAACAGCTGAGACATACATGTTGTATAGTATAAAATAATTAAATATGAATAATTTGACTTCTTGTAAGATAATTTTTTATAAAAAAAAAATTATCAAATTAATGTTTAATATTGATGTAAAAAGTAAAATTATTACTAATTCTATCGAACTTTATTAGTATGTAAATACCTTTAAGTATTTTTTATTCTATTATCCATTTATATTGATGAAAATTAATTTTGTATTCGTTTATTGATTTCATATTTATATATATGACATTGTATATTTTCGCATGTCATGGATACTTATTCTAGTTTCAATTTTGTAGATTGCCTGAAGAAGTTGAAAATAAATCAACGGAACATCGCAACATTTAAAAATGTACCATCTGGTCAATTCCGGTCTAAATTCCTGATAGAGTTAAAATAATATTTATTATATGAACAAGAACATCATTTACGATAAAAAATACATACTCGATATTGTAGATTTATCTTAAAATTTATCTTAATAAATTTAGTTCTTTATGGCTAAGTAAAATAAACTTCCTGGTTCGCCCATAATATTACTCATTGTTTCAATAATATTTCACTTCATTACATGTCGCTGCAGGGAAGCACTATTGTA